TGAAGGATTTGGGTAAAACCAAATTTTGCTTAGGTATTCAACTTGAGCACCTTCCTTCGGGAATTATGGTACACCAATCTGCCTATATCTAGAAAATATTGGAGAAATTCAATATGGACAAATCCTATCCATCTAAAACTCCCATGGTAGTTCGATCTCTAGACGTGGAGAAAGATCCGTTCATACCAAGGGATGATGGAGAAGAGGTGTTGGGACCTGAAGTTCCATACCTCAGTGTCGTTGGAGCGCTTATGTATCTTGCAAATTGCACAAGACCTAATATTGCATTTGTAGTGAATCTACTTGCTAGACATAGCGCAACTCCCACCAAACGTCATTGGTCTGGAGTGAAGAATGTCTTTCGATATCTCCAAGGCACAAAGGATCTTGGTTTATTTTTTCAGTCCTAGGAAAATCAGGACTCTCATATGATTAGATATGCAGATGCCGGCTATTTGTCTGATCCCCATAATGCCAGATCTCATACCGGCTTCGTGTTCCTACATGGTGGCACTACTATATCATGAAAGGCTTTAAAACACTCTGGTGGCAACATCTACCAATCATTCTAAAATAATTTCATTATTTGAAGCAACATGTGAATGTGTATGGCTTCGCAGAATGATAAATCACATACAACAGTCATGTGGAATTGGTTCGATAAAATCACCTACCATTATCTATGAAGATAATGCGGCCTGTGTTGCGCAGATGCAAGCAGGATACATCAAGAGTAATATCGCCAAGCATATTTCTCCTAAATGGTTTTCCCCCATTATCTTCAGAAAAGCGGGGAAATAAGCATTCTGCAAGTCAAATCATGTGACAACCTTGCTGATTTATTTACCAAGTCTCTATCAAATTCTATATTCCATAAATGTGTTCATGGAATTGGTATGCGAAGACTTAGGGACTTGCAGGTGTCAGGGGGAGTCTCATTTCAATGACATCACATTGTGCTATCTTTCTTTGTGAGTATATGTTTCAGGATCTCATCAAAGATTATATGAAGAACTTTTGAAGGAGAATCTTTTGAGATGATAGAGCTTCCCGGACAATCGTGAAGATGATCTACATGGTCAAGCGTAGATTAAGGGGAGTGTTAAAACTAATTCTGTAATTAGGGGGAAATCTCCCCTTGAGTAAACCGTCGTTGCGGTTTGTCCCGCAACCGACGCCTCCCTTCGATCTCCTAAAACCAACGCCCCCTCAAGGGATCATCATGTCTCTTCGGGACATATAAAAGGGGGCATGTAACCATCGATCAATTGATTCAATCATTCTGATTCAAAACATGTTTTACACTGTTTTTACATTCATAATTTTACGTAACATAAAATATTTTTTATGACGAGTATATATTTTCTTACGTTCTTTTTTTACGTATGAAATAGAACGAAATTTATGAAACCTAAAAATAAGGTGCATTCACGTCAAAATAAAGAGGGGGCGAAGAATAACTATTCCTCACATTCATTTACATCGATTGTCAATTCTCTCTCAATCTCGATTCTAAAGTGCAAACCAATCTGATGAGTGATGACGCAGCAAACAAACCGAAGAGTTCAGGATTTGAATATTGACTTCTCTCTTAATTAAACATGTACTTAAGTAATTCCTCACAATATTTTCATATGAACAAACCAAAGTACATCTTTTTAGTTGGTTTTCCATTCAAAAAGTCAAAATATTTCTAGGTACAAAAGTTAGTAGAAAAATTCATCAACATCTACAAAATGAAATAAATAAAATATGAAAATATATTTTTTGGTGTATCTAATGATACAAATATTATAATTTTGGTATTTTGGTCTACTTTGCTCAACACAGAGGAGTTTGCCATTTCTGAAAATGAACACACATTATATTTTAGAACAGGGGGAGAAAATCTCAAATTAGACAGAGATTTCCTTTACCAACATGGATACCGCCACCGTAGCAAAAGAAATACCTGGGCTGTGGTCTAAAATAGAATGCCTAATTATGTGGCTTTCATCGGATATTTTTCTATGGCAAAACAATACTCAGACACATGGGCTTCCGACAAGAAAATCCTCAATACATCGACCCTGGTAATTATGATTAGCATCCACATTTGGAAAATTCAGTCGACCAGTATTATTACATGCTAGATAATAATTATATAAACGGTGCCTAAATTGCAAAAGGCCACATCGCAAGTTCCTTGGCTCTACAAACTCCAGATGGGTCCATTAACATAAAGTTGTACCTGTATAACCATATAAGATAATTCAAATTTAGTACAATATTGCAGAGAAATCAAACAATAGCTTATAGATAGTTGATACCCAAAGCTGCATGAAATTACTACCCCGAGGCATAAAATCCTATCTTCTGGAATAGTTACACAAGAATACATTCCAGAACCCCAATTTAGATCTTTCCAATGATTGAAATCGCCCAAAACACAACATCTATGGAAGGCCACATTGAATTGAAACAAACAATGGGGGTGGAGTTTGGACATACAGATGTACGGAGATAGGGTTATAGAAAGGTGGATTTGGGATGGGAAATAATTGGAGTTACAACACTCCAGGATTGAGTCAGCGATGCAAATTTTAAATGACAGAAGCCCTCCACAAACAAAATATGCAACCATCTGATAGATACCCTTTCAGCACCCGTACAGCCTCACATCCAGGAGAATATGAAAAGAAACAATAATATTTTTCTCCTCTCTTCTCAATCCTTTCATATCCAGGAGAATATGAAAAGAAACAATAATGAAAGGATTGGGTCATGGGCTCACAGGATTGGTGAGCTGGGGTCGTCCAATCATGTGGTAAAATGGTAGAAACAGTGCCCACTGGACAAGTGCTTCTAATGCTTCACAATATGCTCTTTCATCACCGAAGCCCACCATAGCCCACACCCTGTCCCTACGTTTGAGCCTGTGGAAAATGTTCTCCCAAAAACCCTTTCCTAATGTTACTTCATGCCGCTATACAAGGAAGCAAACACTGAACTAAACATGACGCCGCACTCATTTCCCATTTCCACTTTCCTAAAACCAAAACCCAATCTCCAGCTAGCATTTTAGGAGCCCATAGGATGGCGGGGAGCGTAAACTTGCACAATAGTATCTTCTTTTGAAGTAAACAGTGGCAGAAGCCCTAAAAAATACCCCTCCAGTCAAAAAAACTTGTTGATCAAGACAAATCAAACCTTAAAAACTACAAGCATAAATAACTATTAGATTATTTTATTTGGAAACATGTTAGTAATATGTGTTTGACTTGTATCCAAAATACTCACAATATCTCTTAGATTCAAAGGATTTTATTAATACATTCTACAAGAAATTAGTGGTCAAAGAATACGCATCAAAGAACATGCAAAGTCAAATGTGAAAAGTATTTATGACTGGAGGGGGGCATTTGTTTGTATACATGGTATAAAGCAACAATGACCAATGCTTTAATCCAATATAAAATTGATGCAACATTCTCCCACCAGGCTACAACAAAGCACTTTTAGTAAAGGTGATAAAATTAATAGGTGGATTTCAAATGAATGCATAGATACAGCTAAATATAACATTGAACATCAAATTTTCACTACTGGGGTTATCTCATAGTTGCTTCAATACAAGCAGCACAAACAATAGAGTGAATATTATTGGCTTACTCAACTATGTTCTTACTAGACTATCCATTTTCCCTGAAAAACAGCAAAAATACACTACAGGAACATATATGCAGAACAGCGGAAGTGACATCATACTGCGACTACCATTTAAGCATATATTTATAAGTGTGCTATTCATACCAGCTCTAGAGGGGCAAACTTAAAGAAACAAAAACACAGATAAAACAAAACAATTTTTCATTTTCCCTTGATGATAACTCGAGGTAGGGATGCTCCGCCCCCCGGTGTTGATAAAATAAGTAACAATTTAGTGTTAGTATTGCCAAGAATTGGGGGAGTGCATAGCAGACGGTTAAAGCGTGCTGATAATGTCAAGACTCCAGAGAGGTCGGGATAGACCAAAACTTGCCATGGGAGGAGTCCGTAAAGAGAAATCTTAAGGACTGAAAAATATCACTAAAGAACTAGCCATGGACAGGGATGCGTGGAAGTTAGCTATCCACGTGCCAGAACCATTAGTTGGTTTCGAGATCTTATGGGTTTCAGCTCTAGCCTACCCCAACAAGTTTGGGACGTTGTTGTTGTTTATTGCGAAGAATTGGGGGATAAAGGTTAATGAAAAATCAATTGTTTCCTGAAGCTGCAGGGATGGGCTCTTTTAGAGTCACTTTTTGTAACTTTGGTCCTTCTACAAGCCTTTTATATGCTTTAGCTCCCTAGTGGATATACAAATTCAGTTTTAAATCCCTTAATGGGGCCAGCAAAAGTCAAAGCCAAAAAACAAAACTAACAAAGAGAATAGCTCTAATTCACTTAGGTTAGCTTATTATAGAACCTGTAATAATATCTGCCTATAGTATTAAGGTCTATCTAGAAGGGCAGGCCTGGTGCGGTGGTAGAGTCTCTCCACTTGCGGCCTGAAGGTTCTGGGTTCAAACTGGCCTCCTTGCAGAATTATTGTGCAAGGGTAAGGTTGTCAAGAAATTACCTCCCCCAGACCACACCTTGTGTGGGAGCTTTCAACACTAGCTATGCCTTTAGTATTAATAAGGTCTATCTAGTGAATGGAGGTTACTGACGGTAAAAGCCCCCATGACATTTGACCATCCATCTACCCCCAGCCAAGAATTGTAATAACATATATATTGCAGCAGTAATTTCACTATGTTGATCAATATTGGGAGGATAGGCCAAAAACCCATCTTAAAGTTGTTGTGTCCTGTGGCTGGAAATAATAGGAGGTATGAGAGAGTATCATGAAATCCAAAATCTAACAGTGTGTGAAATATTTGAAGAAAGAAATAGATCCTCTTAACTGAATCAGAATTATGAATTTAAGTAAGCAATGTGGTGAAGTACTGGAAAGTAAATGTGCTGAAGGGGCTTACTCATAAGGATATCACATCTACCAGGGATGGCCAAGTAAGTCCCCGGAGTGAATCGCGGATGCTGTAAACCTGTTCCACTTGATTGGAGATCACTATGTGACAAATAGACTTGGGGTGGTCTTGTGAGAGGTGGTGGTCCTCTGTTGTGTATGCTCTCATGGTGATAAGTTCCTGTGTATGCTCAAGAGTACCTAGCATAAGGTCATCGTTGCGACACATAAACGAACAGAAGCCATGGTTACCAAGGGAAACAAATTTGCCACGGCTAACGACCTCCTCCTCTGCCTCATCAACTATCGGGAACTCAACAATTGATAAGGATGGGCACCCTGCTGTGATGCTTGGGCTTGGTGACACCGCGGCACAGACTGTGATGCTGTAAGCAGTGATCTTTTTGGCAGCGCTTGAAAAGCCAAGGAAGAGGGGGCCATGTGGTACGGCGCCTCCAGTGAATGGCAGAACATTGTCATCCAATTTCGACCATTGCTCTGTCTTCAAGTTGAAGATATGTGTGCCTGCCTGTCCATCCATCGACACCAGAATGTAGGAGCTCACAGCTACATAAGACTTAACCCTGACCACCGGTGGGAAGATGTACTGCCTTGGGGAGAGTTCCCAGGGGAAGCAGGGCGGCCGGGGTAGTTGCTCCCATTTGCAGTCCACGAGACGGCCACTGACCACTCGAGCTTGGGAGAGATCGAGCACCTCGAACCAGGGCACGAAATTAACACCCCCCTTAATGGCAGGTTGACGTGTCAAGGCATATATCTTGTCGCCGACCGGTAGCAGGATCGGGCGGAGCTTAGTCGACACAAGCTTCGGTCCCGGGATCACCTGGTGTGTACTGGTGTCGAAGACGATGGTCTCGGGGCCATAATCAATTGGTGAATTGCCACCGACGCCGACGATCCACGAGCCGTGCCTCGACCGCACGGGGACGAAAGACATGCAGTGTTTGGCCTCAAGGCGGGCGAGATGTCCTGGAATAGGTATCGGAGTGTCGCCGCCGCTGCCACCGTCAGGGAAGGTGTTCACCTTAATTACGGAGTAGGCAGGGCGAGTGACATCATGGCCTACCACCATGTACACCGACGGAGGCTTCGTAGGAATAAATAAATCTCCGGCCGCCTTCAGCTTCTTGCCCCCGCGGCCGCGGGGAAGTGTCTCTGTGCGTCGCTGCCGCGGCATCTCCGCGCGCCGAACTAGGCGCAACAGCGGCGGAAGATCGATTTGCAGAGGGATTGCGGCGGCGACCTAGGGTTTGGGGTGGCGGGGCTGGTTGGAGACGGGGAAACGATAGCTTTTTTTCATGAGACAGAGACAACGGGATTTATAGCTGGCCAACAGGCCTATACTTCGCGGGACCGCTAAACGGACAGTGCTCGGCCCACGGCACGCGGGCGTCTGGGGGCGCTTCTGCTGTATCTCGCTCGTTGCGAGACGGCACGCCCCCTGTTTATTTCGTTTTTTGTTGGTCTTTTTCTTTTCTGATTTTTGCTTTCTTAAAATAATTCAGGGTTTCAAAAAGTTCCATATTTCGGAATATTTTCTAATTTTCAAAATCAATATTCAAGAAATCATAAAATGATCGTGAATTCAGAAGAAAAATGTCCATTATTTTGAAAAAATGTTCCAGAAATCATTAAATTTTCGTGCAGTAAAAATAATTCGTGGTTTTGAGAAAATGTTTGCATATTCAAAAAATGTTCACAATTTTGAACAATGTTCACTTAATCAAGAAATGTCAAGCCTTTGAACAAAACTCTCCCAAATTCCAATAACGTTCATGATTTTTTTAAAATATTCAGAAAAAAATGCTTGCAAATTTCAGAAATTGTTTCCAAATTGCCTTTAAACTTTATAGGTTCAAAAATGTTCGCTGATTCAAAAAATGTTCATGCATTTCATAAAATGTACATCAGACAAAACAATGTTCATGAATATTAAAAAATGTTGGTCGATTCAAAAAATGTTGTCGAGTTTCAAGAAATGTTCACAAATTCAAAAAATATTCGCGAATATATAAATAAAATAACGAATTCAAAAAATGTTCAAGGTTTTAAAAAAGTTTGTGAATGTGTAAAAAAATGTTGATTTCAAAAAATGTTCAAAAATTTGAAAGATTTTTGCAAAAATTTAAAAGAAAAGGAGACAACAAACCAGAAGAAAAAACAAACCGTAAATGGTTCCTCTCGCGTAGCTCGCCATTGGGCTAGACAAGTTCCCCCACATCGTTTTGAAAGTTCACCTACCTAGCTCCTACAGCCCAGGCGGGGCTTATCCATGAGCCCACTTGGCCATGTGCCTATCTTGACCCGACAGTCAACATAACTGCGGGAGTAGGTCTAGGGCCCACCCAAGACACGTCCCATCAAGAGGCGCATGTCTCGATCCCCGCATGAAGCCTAACAGTCAAACCCTTGATTCATGCGTGCCATTAACGCATAATCGTGGGGATTCAAAGGGATTTACTGTTGTGTGGCAGCATTGTGTTGTCACCGTTGTGGCTTCCGTCCTTCCCATAAGGGAAAACTTTGTTTTTGCCACTCTAGTTTTTGCCAACTTTACTTATGCCACTCTAGAATTTGACATCTCACTTTTGCCACTCTTAGCTTTTGACAATACGTCACAAATGCCATTCCGTGGCAAAAACGATAATTTTTCATTTCACTTTTACCACTCTTAGCTTTTGACAATACATCACAAATGCCACTCCAAAACTTTTGCTTTTGCCACAGAATGGCAAAAGTGATAAATTGTCAAAAGCTACGAGTAGCAAAAGTGAAATGTCAAATTCTAGAGTGGCATAAGCAAAGTTGGCAAAAACTAGAGTGGCAAAAACAAAGTTTTCCCTTCCCATAAATCGGGAGGAGGCAATAAGGGAGATAGCTTTACACTCTCATTTCTAGCTATCATCGTCTTCTTCCTTGCGCCAGAGCCACAATGCTAAAGCTTTCTATTGCTGCGCCGCTAACTCTATGTCGTTTGCGCGCACTACAACACCACACCGTTCCATAACAATGGCAGGAGGCCTCCAACTGAAGAAGGGAAGCCAGCATGTCCAAGACACCAGCAAGGGACTTGCCACCGCGCCCAAAGTGGCATCTGCCACCAAGGCCAAGTGGAAACCCTCCATGGTGGCAGGAGTCTAGTTGGATCGGCTCTCCACCGCCGAAAACATGTCGTCGCGGCAGTCCGCCCACGCGTGCCTCGGGCTCACCACTGTCAACGGTGTGATCATGCAGGAGACCATCCCGGTGTGGTCGAGGAGCATGACGTCACACCGGTACAAACCCCAGAGTCAGTCCTGGCGATGGACGGCAACAAAATATGTGCATCAAATCGACCTCAAGTCAGAATCCGAGTAGCACTCTAGATGACCAGACATCCAATCACTACTGCAGGATGGTCCAAACGCGACACATGAATCAGAGACCCTTCGACCAAACTGTGTGCGAGCATTAATCGCAAATGGTGTTATAATAAAACCATCACCAATAAGACGGACTGCGTGTGATGGTGGAGACATCAAGTACGATTCAGGTTAGAATTGCGTGTGCGATATGTGGCATACGGTTGATCCATACGAACTATTTTCGATTAGGCAATACAACAGAAACGGTCGGCCAGATCAAGTTGTGTGTGATAGACGACATACAGTTCACTCGGATGAACTGTTTGCAATCAGCCAAGACAACAGAAACAATTCAACTTAACAAGATGTGTGTGATACGCGGCAAACAGGTTCGTAATCAGAAATGTGTGTGACAACCGATAATAACAAGACTGAGGGAGTCCTGGACTAGGGGGTGTCCGGATAGCCGGACTATCATCATCGGCCGGACTCCAAGACTATGAAGATACAAGATTGAAGACTTCGTCCCGTGTCCGGATGGGACTTTCCTTGGCGTGGAAGGCAAGCTTGGCGATACGGATATGTAGATCTCCTACCATTGTAACCGACTCTGTGTAACCCTAGCCCTCTCCGGTGTCTATATAAACCGGAGGGTTTTAGTCTGTAGGACGAATAACCATTACAACAATCATACCGTAGGCTAGCTTCTAGGGTTTAGCCTCCTTCATCTCGTGGTAGATCCACTCTTGTACTACCCATATCATCAATATCAATCAAGCAGGAGTAGGGTTTTACCTCCATCGAGAGGGCCCGGACCTGGGTAAAAACATCGTGTCCCTTGTCTCCTGTTACCATCCGCCTAGACGCACAGTTCGGGACCCCCTACCCGAGATCCGCCGGTTTTGACACCGACATTGGTGCTTTCATTGAGAGTTCCTCTGTGTCGTCACCGATAGGCTTGATGGCTCTTCAATCAACAACAACGCAGTCCAGGGTGAGACTTTTCTCCCCGGACAGATCTTCGTGTTCGGCGGCTTTGCGCTGCGGGCCAATTCACTTGGCCATCTAGAGCAGATCGAAAGCTACGCCCCTGGCCATCAGGTCAGATTCGGAAGCCTAAGCTTCACGGCCGACATACGCGGAGACTTGATCTTCGACGGATTCGAGCCACAGCCGAGCGTGTCGCACTGTCACGATGGGCATGATTTAGCTCTGCCGCCGGACAATGCCCTGGAGGCCGCACACAAGTCCGCTCTGACCCATAGTTCGGAGCAGACCGCGCAGATCGAGGATAGGTGGCTGGACACCGCCTCGGGAGCTGCAACTTCTACGGCGATGGAGCCGAATACCGACCTTGTCCCTTATAAAGCTCGTGACTCCGAGGTGCCAGACTCCTTGCCGGACTCCAAACCTCCTGCGCCCCTGCCAATCGAATCCGATTGGGCACCGATCATGGAGTTCACCGCCGCGGACATCTTTCAGCACTCACCCTTTGGCGACATCCTAAATTCGCTAAAGCATCTCTCGCTATCAGGAGAGCCCTGGCCGGATTGCGGTCAGGACGGTTGGGATGCGAATGACGAAGAAATTCAAAACCCACCCACCACCCACTTTGTAGCCACTGTCGACGATCTAACCGACATGCTAGACTACGACTCCGAAGACATCGACGGTATGGATGATGATGCCGGAGACGATCAAGAACCAGCGCCTATAGGGCACTGGAAGACCACCTCGTCATACGACATATACATGGTGGACACCCCAAAGGATGGGGACGGCGAAGAAGCAGCGGAGGCAGATTCCTCTAAGAAACAGCCCAAGCGCCGACGTCAGCGGCGCCGCTCTAAATCCCGCCACAGCAAGAATGGAGATTCCTGCACAGGAGATAATAACACCCCAGAGAGTGCCGAAGACAACCCCCTCCAGCAAGATTCAGCACAGGAGGACGGGGAAGCCAGCCCTCGAGAGAGAGCGGCAGACGAGGAGGATGAAAATTACATGCCTCCCTTCCGAGACGAGGCAAGCCTCAACGACGACGAATTCGTCGTGCCCGAGGATCCCGTCAAACAAGAGCGTTTTAAACGCAGGCTTATTGCCACGGCAAATAGCCTAAAGAAAAAGCAGCAACCTGCTGGCCGACAGATGGACCGAGGTCCTCGCGGCCGAAGAGTATGAACTTGAATGCCCCTCCAAAAGCTACCCAAAACGCAAGTTGCTCCCCCGACTAGAGGAGGAAGCATACAAACCTTCATCACCAGCGCACAATATGGCAGACCGACCACCTCGTGGCCGCGACAGAGAGGCATCTAGGCCTTCCGCCAGAACCGTACCCCGGCACCGCTCGAAAAGCACGAAGCCACGGGGGAATGCACCGGACTTGCGGGACATATTAGAGGACAAGGCAAGACAATCCAGATCTATCTACGGATCACGTGGGAGCCCCACGACCCACGACGACTACCGTCGCGCCGGATACAGCAACTCCGGCCGGGCCGAACACAGCAGACAACGCTCTCTTGAGCTACGTCATGATATTGCTCAATATAGAGGCGCCGCACACCCACTATGCTTCACAGACGAAGTAATGGATCATCAAATCCCTGAAGGGTTTAAACCCGTGAACATTGAATCCTACGATGGCACAACAGACCCCGCGGTTTGGATCGAAGATTATCTCCTTCATATCCATATGGCCCGCGGCGACGATCTCCACGCCATCAAATATCTCCCACTCAAGCTTAAAGGACCAGCTCGGCATTGGCTTAACAACTTGCCCGCAGAGTCAATTGGGTGTTGGGAGGACCTGGAAGCCGTATTCCTTGACAACTTC